TAATATCATGAAATATGAAATATTTGTTAAAAAAACAGAAAGAGAAGCTGAAAAAATATGTAGAGATCATTTTCCTTTTACAGTTTAAACTTAGAGAAAGTTGGCTAAAGAGGGAATTGTTTTCTTTTTGTCTGTGCCAAATATTGTGGAATATTTGTTTTTGTAAAAAGTTCTCTCCATTTAGAGTCTTTAAAATTTGAAACTGAAGAAGCCTGAATGAAAAGGTAGTTTCTTACCATTCATGAGCCTTTTTCCATTATTAGATTTACTGTAAAATTCTTGATGGTAGGGACGTTGTCCTGCATATATTTGTATGTACTTCTGTGCCTTCCTTACAGTAAGTTCTCAAAATAAATATTTGAGGAAAATGGAGCTTAATTTACTTTTAATTCCTTGCTTTTGACAGTTTGAACTCATCTTCATAAAATCCAAGAAGGTAAGAAGAACAGGGGCACTTCCTCACTTTCTCTGTTGTCATTTTCCACATCGCTATCAAAGTTTTACAATATAGACCAACCCTGCTTCTCTGCTACTTCAAAACCTCCTAGTTTGTGAGATAGGGGATAGAGAGAAAGGGAACATTTACTTTTTATGTTATAAATTCCTAACACATGTGAATTTGTTAAAGTAAGTGTGCATTACTTTACAGCAGGAGAGAAAAAAATACACCCGAATCTAAAACAGAAAAAAGAAAAGAAAAACAAAGATCCCAGTCCAAATTGCCCATAGGATAATGTTTGAACTCCTCAGCCAGATAGGATGTTTAACCTGAGACTTCCAACCTCCTGTAAGTTTCATCTTCCCACCTACACCCCCCTACTGTACACACACACACACACACACACACACACACACACACCCTTACTCTCCAGTGACATAGAACTATCTGTTGTGAAGAAACCATGTTTTTCCCGCCAGCTTGCTTTTTCATTTTCACTTTACTCAACCTAGAAATCCCTGCTCTGCCTCTTGTTTACAGTGATGTTCCTTCAAGACCTAACTCAAAATGCACCTCTTCAGTCCATAGCAGAATTAGTGCTCTCTCCTCTGTATTATCATAGCGCTGTGCTACACAACAGCTTCCCCTGTTAAATTGTGATCAGAGAAAGAACCATGATACTTTACTTTACCATGAACTATGATACTTTACTGAGAGCCATGATACTTTACCATACTTTAGATATATTTGTACCTTTCTTTCTCTCCCTTTTCCCTCCTCTTCCCTCATGCCTTGCCTGATGTATAGAAGGCATTCAATAAATGTTCGTTGAATGAATGAATGAATGATTTAACAAATTAATATCTTTTTTAGGGTAATTGAACTCATATCTAGTGAATCAATATCATTAAGTTTGTTAATAAAGAGTAAAGGTCATTCATACTGAGAAGCAGTGTGGTACATTGGATGGAATCCCAACTTTGGTGTGAGAGTTTATTTTTGGGATTTATCGATTCTTAGCAGCTTGACCCCTGGCAAGTGACCTCACTTCAGTGGTTTTCAATTCTTTGGTCTGTATAATGGGGCTAATAATGTCTACCTTGCAGACAGTTGAAAAGACTCAAATCGCCCAGCTCAATGTCTGGCAAAAAGCAGGTGCTCATTTAATGGAAGTTATTAGTAATCTTATCAGCTGGGACATTTCAGTTTGGTGTATTTGTTGCCATCATAGAATTTAGCATTTGATTATCTATAGTAGCTATCTAATGCTTGCTAATTTTTCCTTCTTGACCACATTGTGAAACTCTCATGTTATACTTTAAACACTGTCCACAGTACCTAGCTCAATGCTGGCTACAGACAGAATTTTTAACTATGGGGATAGAATAGTGGTTCATGGTGAAAAGAGAGCACTTGAATTGGAGTCAGGAGATCTTGATAACAGTGAACTATGTTAAGTAACTTTCCTTTCTCTGGGCCTCAGCTCATTCAACTGTAAAATTAAGGGAATAAACTTGCTGAGTATTTTCCAACTCAGAAAGTCTGTGATTCTGTGATTAGATAATCTTGTTTGTGAAGTAAATAATTACACTCTAGTTAAATAAACCTCTATAGCCAGATAGAAAAATGGAAAGTCCAGGTAGGTTGACCAATCTTCTCAGTTTACCCAGCACTGTCCCAGTTTTAGTATAGAAAGTCCTGTGTCCCATGAATCTTCTCAGTCCTGGGAAAACCAAACACAGTTGTCCTTCCTAGCTCCAGGGTAGTTTGACCAATAAAACGCATTTTTTTCTTTGTGGCTGCTTAAAGATTTTTTTCTTTTGAATTCCAACATTAACAAATAGTGTTTGATCTTGGGAGTAGAGACGAACATTTGATTAGGAGAAAAAACAAGAAGAGCCCATAGTATACAAATAAGCCCCTTTCTCTGTGTAATGATAATCAAATGTAGAGTCTGTCACTGTGGAGACTCTTTTATGTACTGTTAGGCTATGCTGTCAAGGGTAAGGATGTAGGTGATTCTGTCCCTGGACTCAGGCTAAGTATGTATGTGTGGAGTGGAGTGGGTGAATGTAGGACATATACCTATGGAAAGTTTCCCATATTCCACAAAATGGAATAATGCCAAAATACATTAGTCTGTTCAGGGATGTAAGGGCGAGGCCAGTGAGGACTAGAAGAGGTGGAATTTAAGGCTACATGGGATTTGATTGGTTATGGAGGTGGGTAGGCAGACAATCTGAGGGGTGGTGCTGCAAAGTAAGGCACAGGTCCTGCTGGTAACTGTCCCTGAATCCCCAACTCTTATAAAAACACCATGGAATGTGAACAGGGGCTGTGTCATTAGTTAAACAAAAGGAAATCCTCTAAGAAATGAAAAAGGAACATGGAAATAACAAAAGGGTTGGAAGTGAGATAAGGGAACTGGGGAAATGAAACTACTACCCAAATGGTTCCTGCAGTTTTCCTTCTGAGTTTTTCCTCTGCTTTTTAGGGTTATCCCACTTAGTTCCCTGAGGCCACAATCACGCTTGGCCCTCATTATTGCATTAGGCAGATTGGCGTACTGTCGGGGAAAAGGCACAGGCTTTCAAGACCAAGCAGGCCTCCACCACTTAGTACTAGCTGTGTGGCTTTGGGTGAGTGAACTAGCCTTGATGGAATTCTGTTTGCTTATTGATAAAATAGGAGTAAACATATCTACTTCACTGGCTTGTTCTGAGGAGTAATGAGATAATTAATGTGTGTAAAATGCCTGACATTGTAACTGGCACATATGAGTGGCTCAATGAATAGTAATTTCCTCCCCTATCTCTTTCTGGGGTTATGATAATTTATTCGATCATTTGTCTAAGTAAGGGGAAGAGTACTCTTCAAGTGGTCTCAAAGAGAGAGACTCCCAAGGGAAAGTTGAAAACACAGAGGAAAAGCATTAGGGTCTGCCTGAACCTTTCTTCACATCTCACCTGGAGATTCCACTCCCTCCATCCCCGGCACCCTGCAGGGTGTGTGTGTGTGTGTGTGTGTGTGTGTGTGTGTGTGTGTTAGATTTAAGTCAGGACACTAGTACCTCTCAGGCCCACAAGGACATAAGTTCCCTTCCCCGACTTGGCTGTCCCCATGTGTTCTGCAGGCAGCCTGGCTAAGCAGGGCAGGGCACCCTGTATGTGTAGGAGAGGTACAGTTGGCTACCAATGATCTGCAGGTGTTGAAACCTGATTCCTTGCCACCCTGTTCCTGTGCGTTGGCAATAGCAAATTAATGAGCATGAGCTCTAGGGCATATTTTTCTGCTGTAGGGAATAAGAACTGTCACTTTACCAGGAGGGCTGATCATTGAGGGGGGATGTCTCATTACCTGCTCCAATGCTCTTTTTTGTTTGGTTAACTTGTGAAGTCCAAGAAGCTTACCTTCAAAGCTGCTCAATATCTCTGTCAGTGCTCTCTTTATTTTTGTAGGAATTTCCCCCTCCCCCTGCCCCTGCCCTCAGCACCCCAACCCTCCCTTGAACCCTCTCCAATCTCCTCCCAATCTCCCCCAAATGCTCTTATCGACCTTACCTCTACCTTCACCCCGATCCCTCCATACCTCACCCAATCCCAGCACCAACCATTTCTTATTCTCTCCATCTCCCTCTCCCTATCACCCACTGACCTGTCACCACCCCTGAAATATTTGATACTCTACCCAAACTTTGAACCTTTTTCAATTCCCTCTCTCTCCTAATTTACTAGTCCCTTATCCTCTTCCCTCTGCTAAGCCAAGAAACAATTCCAACACAAGCAGGAATTGCCAATGTTTATTGATTATTTTTAAAAATGTCACTTGCAAATTAATTTTCTTTATTGTAAAGATGTTGCAACTTTTGTGATAAAGAGAAATTGATAAGAAAAATATTGCCAGTCTAACAGCTAAACTTTTTCATTATTAGTTTCTAATATCTATTTTCATGCATATTATTAGTATAAATTGTAATTAAAACAGCCCTGCATAATGCAGGGGTCAGAGAGGGAAGCATGCAGGGTTGGTGAAAAAAAGTAACTCAAAGTCATCAGGTTCAGTACGGGTTCCAAGAGGCAGGGTCGTTGTACAGGTAGCCTTGATTCATAGCCAGAGGTTCAGTGGAAGATTCGGAGAGCAGCAAGTGCTGATGACAGCTGAGGTAACAGAAGACAGGCTGCCAGGAGCAGTCACTTGGATGTAGGATCTACCCAGCAATTATTTCATCACGATGTCTTCTATTCCACCTGTGTCTGAAGCAATTATAGTGACAATATCGTGATGGAAAGGACACAGTGCGGGTACTCCATTCGATGTTTGGATCATGTGTCTCAAGCCAGTGAATTCCAAGAATCAGAGGGTACCGTGGTGCATGAATAATGTCAAACTGGAGCTCTTCAACGTGGTTTCCAATTTTAACCTCGACAGGTGGTGTTTCCTTGGTTATGGGCCCATTAATCAGTGGACGGCCATCGACGGTTTCAAGCATCAGAGGAAAGATGTTATTGCGGATGGGCAGCTTCTCCCGAAGAACCACAGAATGGTCAATGCTGTTTCTGTAGGAGCCTGAATCCACCATTGCTTGCTCAAAGAACTGCCGTCTTCCCAGTCGGATTTCAACAGTCAGCCATAGGGTACGGGACATGGATATTGGAAGAGAGGGGGACGCGTATTTGTAGATTGGCCCGCCCGGGGTCCCCCTTACCGCCGGGCCTCGATGTTTCCCGCCTGCTGTACACGATGAGGCTTGGCAGGGCAATCTCTGGCAAAATGACCAGGATGACCGCAGTAGAGACACAAGTGGCCTTCACGGCGACGGGCCCGTTCAGCTTCACTGAGATGTGGGCGGTTGCTTGCAGCCTGCATAGGTTGGTTTTTGGCTGGTGGACTTTCAGGCCCATCTCTCTCTTCAGAGGGGCTTGCCCCTGATGGACTGGGGTCAGGCTTCTCTCCTAGGCTGATGCACTGAGTGATCAGATCAGATAGGCTGGTGGCTGGGCTTGTGAGAGACAGTTCATCTCTGATAGAACTGGCAAGTCCTTCTTGAAATTGGATGCAGAGAGTTCTTTCATCCCAGTTCAGCTCTTGAGCAATGAGGTGGAAGTGGGTCACATACTGGTGGGCAGGGCCCTCCCCTTGGCAGAATTGATGGATGCAATGGTTGGCATCTTCCATGTTTTCTGGATTGTCAAAAGTGTCCTGGAGCACTTGTATGAAACTTTCAAATTGCTCCAGCAGGGGGCTTTGGATATCCAATAAGGGCTGCAACCACCTTCCTGCCTCACCTGAGATGCGGTTGCCAACAAAGCTCACCAAGGCTGCTTCAGTGGGATATAGGTGCCCTCTGACTCTCACATAACTGTTCAGTTGAACCAGGAACTCAGGAAGCTTCTGGGCGTCCCCACTGAAAGCTAAAGGGTATTCTAGGGGAAAAACTGCAGCCTCTAATCCACTGAGGGTCTGTGGAAATTCTGAAGCTGCTGATGTCTCCACAACTATCAGGCCCTCCAGGGACTCCTGAGGTGCTGAGAGTTCTAGGAGCTCCTGGGCATCTGAAGGATCCAGGGGCTCCTGCAGCACCTGAGGCTCCAGAGGCTCCTGGGGAGCTGGAAGCTCAAGGAACTCCAGCTGTGCTGAGGTCTCCTGGCATTCTGGTGACTCCTCAGTGTTTGGGGGGTCCTGGAGTTCTGAATTCTGGGGCTTCTGGGCCTCTGGGGCATCCTGGCTGTCTGGGGGCTCTTGGGCCTCCCAGTCTGCTGGGAGCTCATGGGCCTCTGGCTGTGCCTGAGGCTCCTGAGTTGCTGGGGGCTCCAGGGGCTTCTGGGCCTCCTGGGGTTTCTGGGCCTCCTGAGGCTTCTGGGCTGCTGGGGGCTCCCGGGCTGGGATTTTCTGTGGCTCTGCGGGCTTCTGGGGCTCCTCCACCTTCGGGGGCTCTTGAGACTCCCAGGCTGCTGGGAGATCCAGGGACTCTGGGGGCTTCTGGGGCTCCTGAGCCTCTGAGGGCTTTAGGAATGGTTCATCCTCTTTGGCTTCTCGGGACTTCTGGAACTCTGGGATCTGGGCCTGAAGGGCAGCATTTTCTTCCATCAGCCGCTGCACTTGGGCCTGCAGAATTTCATTCTCCAATTTCAAAGCAATATAGGAGGCTGCTAAGTCCTCCACCATCTTTTGAGGAAATGGGCTTGGGTTGAGCTATTTGCTACCAAGAGAGATTGGGTGGGTGGGCGCTTGTGAGGTCTTTCCTGAAAGCTGCTCACAGGCAGACGTCAGGCTCCGTGAGTTTTCTGAGGGGTGGGGATTTGGGCTCCACCAAGGCTGATTACCAAGAGGTCACTGGGAGCCTCTGGAGCTCAGTAAGGGGAAGTCTCAGATACACTGTGAAGAGAGTGGGAGCTGAGGATCAGAAACTGTGGAAAGCACTCATTGAACATAAATCAGAACAAAATCTGCCCAACAGCATTGAGTTTCTTTTACCACAGGCTCATGTTCATGAACTGGGGCATATATGCTGGCTCTGGCCCCATGACATTTTAAGAACAGTACCTAACCCAGACTGTGCATGTCATTTTGCATTCTTCTTTTGAAATTTAACATTATATCAGAAATAATATCTCCATATTCTTTTCTGCTTTAGTTTTTAATTTCTAATGTCTGCCTAATATCCCAGTGTAACACTTGGATTTTAACAGCTGCTTTCGGCGATTAAATCAGATGTTTGAGCAATGTGGGGATTTTAGGCTCTGTGGTGGGCCAACCCAAGAGATATTTTTGGGTGACTGGGGTAGGAGGTAGGGGGGAGCTCTTTCTGACACCTCAGAAATCATACCACATAAGTAACCGCATAAGACTAGCCTCAGGAGAAAACAAGCAAAAGTTGACTAAATATATATATGCTCTCAGCAGACACATGCATATTATTTATAAAATGCCTCAAAATAGTTAAGAAAATAATCTTTATAAATGTACATTACCATTCAGAGACTTAGTCCAGGAGCTCGGCTGTCTGCGTACCCATCGCTGAAGAGGGAAGTGTGTGAGTGGCTGTGGAGGCTTGCCTTTTCTGCACACACTGAACTCAAACAAACACACCCACTCCCAGAACACGTTCCAACTCTCCTCTGTAACGTAGCTATTTCGAGTGTGGAAGAGTTTTTTTGACAGTACCTCACAGTTCAGAGCCGCAAGGAAAGTAGGATGCTGCACCAATGTGAGGCAGCCTCGTGTACTCAGTCCTTAGTTACTTTAATAAATATTTGGCCAGGAAATGGGGAGTAATACCACTGCCCTTGTGAAAAGTTGCAAACATTTCTGAATGACCACAGTGGTTTGGGATTTGATTTTTTATGTCTGTCTCACGTAATCTACCCTTACTCTGTCCACACTGGGCCGTTTGTTTAATTCTCACTCAGGGAACAGCCTGCAGCCCCTCAGCCCCTTCCCCTGCCCACCTACTCAGTCCCTAGGGTTCCTCCTTGCCATGTTTTCTTGGAAACTTTACCATGGACAGATCTAGGCAAGGTATAAAAGGGAATGCATGGTGGGTGAGGCAAACTTTGTGGACGGGTTCCTGGCTGTTTCTCAATGTCCTTGCCTTGGGTTCTCTTGCTTCCCTGAGCTGGTCAGGTGCTTCGGGCAGCACCCAGGAAGTCCACTAAGGGCTGGCCTCTTGGGAAGTGACCCTGCTCAGAATCTCACCTTCTCTTCTCATGCCAGATCACAGTTATACCCTGGGTATGGGCCATGTGACCATTTTAGGCAAGACTTAGGGGCAGCTATTTTCATTTCAGTAAGGAGTGGGGTTGGGAATTACATTTGACCACTTCAAGTCACATATCAAGTCAGTAGTGGTCCCAAGTCTCCTTTACAAATGGTCAATTCCACATTAGTCAGCATAATGGGATAAACTCTGGTGACAGAATAGGCCCAAACCACAGCAAATTGACAGACGGGGCTAGCTGAACCTGAATGCAGAGGCTTTGAAAAGGAAAGTAAAATATTTTGCAAATAGATTTTTTCCCCTCCCTACTTTTCAAGGTTCTATTTATTATTTTTTTTTTGCAACACACCACATGTAAAGATACCACCACCTTTAGGGAATGATGTGTTCTGGCTATATGAATTTTTCAGATAACTAAAGCCTTCCTTCCCTTCGAGAAGCCAAAACACACAGTTAATGCTTACTTTACCTAGCAAGAAAAGAGAAGAATTTACAGCACCCAAATTTGTAGAAGGCTTAGTGAAGTAGCAAACAGCTATTAATTGAAACTCTTTCTTAATATTTAGTTATTTCTGTAAGAATAAGTTCGAAGGTTCAGTACTGTACATCAAGTTGAAATTTAATAAATGGTATTTTAATTTAAAAAAATCAGAGAAATCTTTATATAATAGTAACACTTGGATTTTAATAGCTGCTTTCAGTGATTAAATCAGATGTTTGAGCAATGTGGGGATTTTAGGCTCTGTAGTGGGCCAACCCAAGAGATATTTTTGGGTGACTAGGTTAGGAGATAGGGGGGAGCTCTTTCTGACACCTCAGAAATCATATGGATGTTATACTTCATCCATTCTTTTATAGATGATTTTGAACATAATTTAATCTATTTTTAATGGTTCAGAGTCATTCTTACACCAGCCAGCTAGTTAACTCTGTCGTAATAGCATGTCGCCTTCTGAAAGCTACTGAGAGGCATAAAGTGGGCTGTCTCCAAATGAAAAACTTCTGAATTGCTGTGCTTTCCAACTTCTTGTAGTTCCCTTTTCCTTTGTATTTCTTTAGTCTTTTGCAATCAAGTTGTCACATAGTTCTTAACTCTATTACCTATATGACTGTCTACACTAAGTCTATACAAATTTGGCAAATTACTTAGTCCTTCTGAAATTTAGAGTCTAAAACTCAGTTTATGAAACTGTAAAATGGAGCTATTAATAGTATTTAACTTTATAGGGTTGCCACAAAGATTTAGTGAAATAATGTGTGTAAAAGGCTTAGCATAATGTTTGGGAGCTAGTAGCACCCAATAAAGGTTAATAATAATAATAAGCTGTACCAGCAATCTCATTTTAATTTATTCTTTTTAATCATCTGTGAATTGGGAAAACAGGTAAATATGCTAGAATTGTGTAGGGGCTGAGCAAGGGCTCTCATACCAAGAAATCTACAGGGCATGGATTTTACAGCATCGATTTTTCACCACTCAGGAATTTTTATCTTTTCTTCCTGGCTGCGTTATGGTAGGTTTAGTTTACAAATAATTCTCTAGAATCAGAACTAGAGGCACCTGAGCAGGAAGATGAGATTAACATGGGGATTGTGGAGCAGCCAAGATAGATATTTTAAAAAGTCCATGGACTAAAGCGCTGAACAGTGCCTTGCCTACAGGCATATTTATTCAATATGTAAACACACAGAACTTTCTTCCCCCAGCCCCCTCCACTAAAGAGCAAAGACCAAATTCAACATCCTTAAGTACAAGTTTCGAACTGCCTAAACATAGAGAATTATTCTCTTTTGAGTGGAAAAAAGAGCTACACTGACTGTTGTCAAATTGCCTAAAGTGGTTTTAATATCCTGAATTAGTCAAGTAAGAATAGGGAAGAATAGGAAAGTAATCATATCCAAACTCCCATCATGTTTTCTCTACACTTTAATCCCTTTTCTTACACTCACAACATGATGGAATTTATGGAGCCTTTAGAATGGTTATGAAGACATTTTAAGTAAATGAGGTTTTCTTAACTTGGCAAATGAATATTTCAGGAAAAAAGGACAAATATACTCATTTAAAAGATATAAAAAGACTATACAACAATAAGAAATGTTCACACTCAGTTATGCTAATAAGTTACATATGTTGATTGTTATATTGGGGAGAAAGGGAAAAGAAAGGTTGAATGAGATGAAATTCTACTTTGTACATTCCACTAAGAATCATAATTTTATTTTGTCAGTAAATGCACAATCTGAACAATTTAGGTCTTTTCCGGGGTCTTCCGCCCCAAAGTTGGCTGGGCTGCATCTTTAAGCAACTCAAGTTTCTGCCCCTCCCTCTCCCCGCCCTGGAAAAGAGTCAACGGGACAGGTTACCCCACAGGTCTCTGGCACAAGGCCCAGCCACCCCTTGGGGGCAGTCCCACCCTGGTGTCTGTTTTGTTCAACATATTATTCTTATGGTTGTGTTAGAGCTTGCAGCACTTTCTTAAATTTAACCCATAATATGCTTAGTACAAATGGAAACTTTTCATTGTCAGCAACACCCCATAATACAGCATACAGGCAGTAGGATTTCCCAATATCCTTGGAAGTTGGAAAAGTGACCAAGAATTCTCCTTACTCATGTGACTGGGATCCAGAGCACTTGATAAGGGAATGGAAATAGGGTCTATCCCAGCACAATTTTGAAGGAGTCAAAATTTGTCACTTTTTCATCTCCCTTTATGACATTTGCCATCATCTCATTTTATTTCTTGTTCCATACTTGGGAGTATTTTTTTTCCCCCTTGCTCAGCTGACTTACTTTGGGAAAGTAAATCCCTATTGAGATATTACCTCATAGGGCTTTAAAAGGAACTTTCTTGGAGGTGTTTACATTTTCATAGGATATTGTGAAAGACTTCAAGCCCCTCAAGACCCTTCTGTTAGGAGAAATATCCTGGGGCAGAGATATCATTTGCGTGTCCTTCAGATCACACCATGTAGGTGGCCCTATAGTTGATTTCCTTATAAGCTAACCCTGTATGACCTCTAGTGTTAGCAGCAGGTTTGTTTAATGATTTCAGCACTCTGGCTTCATTGAACACTGGTGATGTGCTGACCAGGGTGCCCTAGTTAAGAGCTGAGGCAACTACCATTGCTGCCTAACAGGAAAATGGGACTGGGGGTGGGGAACTTTGCTATAATCCCACTCTTGGGGATGCACTTGTCATAGAGATCTGGCCTTCTACTGTACTTCCTGAACCCCTACTCTCTGGGTTTGCCAATGCTGATTCATCCAGAAAGCAGACTAAGTCTAAGCTGATGGTACCAGCAAGGCAAGAGAGAGGAGGAAGAGAAAGGGCAGGGGAGGGAGGGAAAGGAAGAGAGAGAGGAGGAGAGGAGAGGCAAGGAGAGGGGAGGGAAAAAGAAGAGGAGAAGGAAAGATAATACCAGAAAATCTAGATAGAAGCATAAAAACTCAGCACATGTACATTTTGGTCAATTAAAGATAAAATTTGATTTTATGCTTTAGCATTTAAAAAAATCACATAAAAGGAGGCTTTATTTCTTTTAATGCTTAGGCTTACCTCTACAGGTCTCAATCAGTCCATGGTGGTGGTATGGTCTTTATAGGGTTGCAGACTGCTGAAGGGGTGGTGGTAGAGCCTCAGTGAGACTGGGGAGAATGGAAGATGTAGCAGTAAATGGAGTGCTGAGGAGGGAGAACACCCAATATTGCATTTTTACTGTGTGCTATAAATGAGATAACAGTTGTGAAAGTGCTTTGAAAAAGATGTGCTAATGAAAAGAGCACAGGCATTGAAGTATGCCAGACCTAGGTTCAATTCCCAGCTCTGGTTTTTACTAGCTGTGTGATCTTGGCCAAGTTACTTAAATTTTCTGAGACTCATTTTCCTCACCTGGAAAATAGGAGATAACAAGTAATTACTGAGTTGCTGTGAGGATTACAAATAATGTTAGTCTCCAACAATAGGCATTTGCTGAATTGCAGCTCATGATAAAAATAATATTGCTAGTACAAGAGAGTACCATTGATTTTCATGTCAGTTTATCTAGTGCATCCAAACAAAATTCCTCTCCTCTCAACTTTTTGTATATAAACTCAATGTAATACGATTGCTCCAATATACGTATACTCCTCAACTTATGACTTACGATAGAGTTACATCCTGATAAACCCATTGTAAGTTGAAAATATCATAAGTTAAAAATGCATTTAGCACACCTAACCTACCAAACATTACTGCTTAGCCTAGTCTACCTTAAATATGCTCAGAACACTTATATTAGTCTGCAGTTGGGCAAAATCATGTAAAACAGAGCCTATTTTATAAGAAATTGTTGAATATCTCATGTAATTTATTGATTACTTTATTGAAAGTGAAAAACAGAATGTTTGTATGAGTATTGGAAGTACAGATTTTGCTGAATGC